AAGAGTAGTTGCATTTTTAAATTATTTTACTAGGGCAAAATTATGTCAAGTAGAGATGCGATATGTAATCTCTATGTACCCTCTGTCCCAAATGGAGCGGCTCGGTCCTGTGCGACCGCCTGGACGCGTTCGGGAACGTGTCGTCTGATCATACTCCCAGGTCTGAGCGTAAGAAAGAGCTCAGAGGCGAGCTTCAATAGTTGATGGCGTGGAAAAATGGTTGCAGAACAGTTTCGCAAATTGCAAGTTCAAACGAAGCAGCCGCGTGGTAGCTGTGCCGCTCGAGTCGGGCTCACTCCAGATTATGCAGAGGGTAGAGCGATCAGTAAAGTGGGGACATAAGGCCTAAGGCATACCTCCCGCGATTTCAGTCGCGGCGCGATTTCCAGCTCGGATATAAGTTCCGAATCCGCCGCGCCGGCGCGCCTAACTGTATGGTCCCGCCGCATTTGTGTTAGACTGACGCCGCGACGAACGCGGGTCATTTTTGGACGGGCATACTTTCGCCAACGATATCTTCACGATATCGTTGTAATTGAGCGATGTCGCGTCGCTGGTGCTGCACCAGCTACGGGGCATATCGCGCGAATTGCTTCTTCTTTGTGGAAAGTTTTATTTTTTGCAGATGTGAATCTCATTTAGAACTTTTCCATCTCACACAATCGCTTCTCTCTACATGAGAGAAGGTTGGTCATCGAGCATTCCATACTATTAGTTTTTGAAAACAACACAGGCGAAGTGTATAGTATGGAATGCTTCCCATATGTCACCTCACCCTTTTTGTTAGCATTTATTGTTCTCGCAATTCGCTAATTCTACTGTTCTTGTTCAAACAACAAGTAAATGATGACCAAATCTCGAATGTTTTCGCCATAATTCCTGAAGCAGAGTAGATGTGCAATCTTGGTTGCTTAAAAGCAGTGGCTCGGCAAATCTCAACCTAATCAAATTTTTGCTTACCTGGGCTTAATCAATACGCTGATCCCGAGAATCCTCTTCAGAAAGCTTGAAAACGGCGAAAACCTGCATTTTTCGATGCCCTTCCTTTTGAAGTTGGACGAGTGGAGCAAGGCTGATGACGCCAAATCGTGGCAGGACCCAATGGTTATAGCATTGCGGCAGGCAGCCTCCAGTGGTGCTCAGACACTGGGACCGGCTGAGCCGCGGCCTCAAAAGGCCTTTCCGGCCCGTCCGCGGCCTTAATTTGGGGGCGTGGCCGAGGACCGGCCCAGCCGCGGACCTTAATTCATGTCGATATGATTGCACCGGCTGAGCCGCGGACTGAATATGGCTTACCGGCCCAGCCGCGGCCTTAATTTGGGGGCGTGGCCGAAGACCGGCCCAGCCGCGGACCTTAATTCATGTCGATATGATTGCACCGGCTGAGCCGCGGACCAAAATCTCTATAACGAAACACCAGCTGAGCCGCGGCCCATTTTCGGCTCGGCCGGTCCTAGTATCTGAGCGTAAAGAACACTTGCGTGATGTACGACGCATGGTCAGGCTGCCCTCATTGTCCATAGCCTTCCATGTCTTTCCAGTCTCCAACGCAGGAACAAGACCAATGTGTTGTACAACACCTGGATAGCACTTTGTGTTGTCCAATTTTGAAGCCGGACATGGTTTCCGAAGCGGCCATGTCTGCGACTTCAATTTTTGTTTTTCACAGCGTGTATTTTACGCGCCAGTGAATAAAAAACAGTCGTTTTGTATCCGAGCTAGAATGAACTATATGGCCCGACAACCAGCTCCGGCTGAGCCGAGGCCGTTTTCCGGCTGAGCCGCGGACCTTTACCGGCTGGTCCGCGGACCTTCACCGGCTGGTCCGCGGACGCTGCGAAATTCCAGCCGGAAATGGGCCGCGGCTCGGCCGGTCTCAGTGTCTGAGTGGGAAGGAAATTGCCAACTCGACCGGGCGCGTGTAAGATTGCCTTGCGCGTGTAAGTATGAGAGCAGTTTTCTCGGCGAGGAAGGCATGCTGTGCAACCGGGATTGCACTGTTTTCACACTTGGGCGATAAGGAACCTACTGTTTCAGAATCCTGCGCTGTCAAGTTTTCCCGATCCACTGCCTTTAAGCATGTAAGATCGGTTTCCAGATTCGTGTGGAGGTGTATTGCAGACTTTGCCTGATAACACAGGTAAAACTTGTTAAACCTCCACGTCGTAGCACTTTTCATACTCTCTCGCTAGAAAACCGCCGCGTGGTGAGTTGGCAAGACTCCAACTCCACATGAATCTGGAAGCCGATGATATGTACCTATGATCGTTCGCAGATAGGCAGACAAGAGCTCGCGCAGCACTCGTTGTTAAAATATGCCTAGTCAAAGTCTTTTATAGGGTCAAAAGCATGGCATTTCTGTTACAAAGCTAACGTATATGCCTACCGGTAACTGAAAGAGTGAACTCAAAACTTTACGAACTGTAGTCGATTTCATCGCAGGTGTTAACTTGCGCCGGCAAGAAAACCTTGATAATTACGAGGATGAGTGTGAATATCCTTGTTCGTTTGCTGTAATGTTCTCTGAAAGCATATGGTGCCACATTCTGTTCAAATTTTTTTTGAAAAAATGCACTTCAGACAAATTAGCGCTTTTCCAAAAGTGCGTAAAATGCGGTGTGGTGTGTGAGGGTTCACGCAATCGCAAGAGGTATGGCCTGTGAGCGAGCGATAAGCGATTTCTACGCACTGATCCATCGCCCAGGCAGCCGATTCGCAGCGATTAAAAATCGTGACGACGGTGTCACGACGAGGTATGCCTTAGGCCTAACGTAATTTAAGCGCGGTAAATAGCGATCTTCAGAATTTTACTTGTGAAGTTGACCATTTTGTGCACTCTCAGTCCTATCTTATACCGATGTTAAATTTCATCCAAAGGGATTGGCGGTTGGAAGGCAGGGCTTCGAGGCCTTATCAAGCTCGTGCTCATAATTCTTCTCATAATTCTATAGCCTAGGCTATAGAATTATCGGAGAGCACGCTCGCGAGAGAGACGTAAACTGCGCCGCGAGTGCGAGCGGTCGTCTTCCAGATGCCAATCCCGTTGAATCAAAGGGTATTTCTAATTGTGCCTATTGCTCACGTTGAAACCAAACTCTAGAGTATTTCGCAGCACTTTGTTGCAAGCAGTTTTGCAAAGTCAATTTTTGGCAACCTGTGCCTTTGAGCGTTATATTTAAACTGAGACATTGGTGTTCTCATTCGTATAGTACACGACATAGGGATCTTTGAGTAGTAGTCAACTTCGATGTTATGGTACAAAACGAATCACTCTTCCTCTTCAATAGTGTAAAGTTACGGTAGGAGCTTCCAGCGCAATGTCGTTCACGCAAATCGACTGCCATGAGAGAATTCAAAACGCTTTCCTGAATCTTATAATAACCCAGTTCGGACGATATGATAGATTTTTTGGTTTTTGGGAAGATCTGTCAAGGCTGCCGTAACTTTTAGCCGCAATTACGGAGGAGCGAAAAGCTCATGCAAGAAATCAGCCATGCTTTTTTCTGCTGAAAAATGTCCAGGTCTCCTGGACAATTTCTCGAGGGTATGCTTCAACTTGCGCAAAACTCTTTTAGAATGCTCGCACCGTAATCTTGCATTAATGAAGAGGATTGATTATCTATTTTGTAACACGGGCACAGCAGTTTTTCGCACGATCTTCATTTGCCTTTTTTAGCCACGCTGTCCAGGGGATTCCAAAGCAAGGCAGGCTCCACAGGCCTCCAAAAACGCACAAAGCTATAATTATTTGAAGAAAAGAACCTCGTTTTCGAAATCCTATTTTCGTGAAGAGACCTGCCTCCCCCCCCCCCTCCCCCCCCCAAGGATCCCACACTTGTTGTATACTCTCTGCGCCAAACTTTCATATATGCACTTGCTGTATTCAAAGGTGGCTCTGGATCGACAACCAAAAGGGTCAGTATGAAAAAATGTCACATGTTGTGTTCTGTGCTAAATTGATGTTTAAGGTGGTGTAAGGCATTTGAAAAATCGTGACGATGGGACCGCGCGCGATACGCACGCCTCTTTCGAAAATCGCATTTTCTTGGATCTCATCTCTAGTTGAATGGTTTTTTTGCTTACGTATGGTAATATTTAGGCTTTGGAAGTGACTGAGCTAAACGTTGAGGTGATGCCTTCTTATATGAGCATTTCATGCTCTTGTGGGCGCAAAGACAGTAAAATCCGTCGTCGATTTTATAAATGAAGTATACTTGGTTGGTGCTTAGAATTTTATGTGGACACATCCACTATTGCTTCGGTAGAAATAGGCCAATTTTTGTTTTTTCGATATCATTGAGAGAAACAAAGCAAGTACGCTTTTGAATGTCAACTGAGGATAGTCTAGGGCGTTCGAAAAATCGTGATGATGGCGCAACCGCGCGCGATACGCACGCCCTCCAGCAATCACATTTTCTTGCTCTCCTCTACTCGAATGGCTTCTCGTTTACATATAATAGTATTCAGACACTGGAAGTAACTGTACTGAGGATTGAGGTGATGTCTGTTTGTATGGATGTTTTATGCTACTATGTGCGCAAAGACCGTAGTCAAACTCGATTTTGAGAATGACCTGTGTATTCGTAAGCATATGAAAGTCTGTAGGGGTTTTTCGGACGGAGACCTGTTGAATATTTACTACCTTTCACCTTCGATATCAACTCCACCTATAATAAGCTTACGACTGTTTGGATGCTGTTGTGGAGCTTGCTGTGCTTTGCTCTATCAAATAGTGCCCAAAGGTGCTTTGAAATAAGGAAACAAATTGGGCAGAATTTGAGAGCTTTGCCCTATTGAATGGAGGACAATCCACACTATTTTTTCTGCTAGAATACATACTGCATACATTGCGCCTACACTTCCAGTTTTTTGATCTTCCTGATGTGGCCATTCAGGAAGCTTTTGCTGGCACTTATTAACAACATAATTTATTTTGTTGACCAAAAAAATGGGGATTATTTGGTGGAAATATGTGTGACTTTAGTATCGAACCTTTGCAGGTACTGTTCAGAAAGAAGTCCGCAGGGAAGGAGCAAGATCAGTTGATTGTACTATTTTGTCTTGTAGGAAAGCAGTGGATGAGTGAAAATTCAAATGCGTTCAGGTACGAAAGTAGACATTTCATTGTCATTTACAGTCCAGATTCAAATTTTTGAAACATTCATCTGCTTCCTCTTGGTAAAAAAACTAGCTTTACTGCATTCTTGTTGAACAAAAGTTAAAAAAGTAAAATAAACTTATGTATCACAAAAACGACTATGATTTGCAAAGCAACTTCATTTTCAGATGTTGGGAACGAGTAAAGAAACAAGATGTCATTGTCAAAAGAAAAATCATTGATGTTATTGAAAAATAATGGAAAGCAAAAAAACCGTTCAACGGATTTATCTTTGGCGCAGAAAATGTGTTGGTGTATGGACAAGTCATACTAATAATCAAATAGTACAAAAGAGATCAACATAGGGTAGTCATGGCCGTAAACGAAACTGCACATGGTGGTTAAAGGCCGAAGACAGATCAGTGACCTGTGACAGCTTTACCGTCGTCTTCGTCCGAATGACATGAAATTGCGGTCGAAGTCTTCCCTCTTTCCAAATGACATCATATCGCGGTTGAAGTCGTTGAATTCTCGCTTTCCAAATGGCAGAAATTCACGTTCGAACTGAAAAGAAGAAATTTTTGTAAAATCCCTTGTATTTTATGTTTGCGGGAAAGACGAGGTTAGCATGTTTTTGAATAGCGTGAAAAAGTGCAATCTCTTTTCGAAAGTCAGAGGGAGATCTACCAGAGACCAACTAGGGATCATGAAGCAGCACAGAGATGGCTGTTATATGTCTTCTAACGGTGATTATGAGCACATATGGCCGAATGTCAAACTAAGGACGAGGAGATATGCAGACTCCACCCGCGCCAACAGGAACAAGGCTTCAATATGTAGGAATGCATTTGCAAATATCCGCGCGACCTTTCGGCAATATAATATCCTCTACCTCCATCGTGGCGACTATAACCACGCGGGATAAGCTCGGTCTATAAGGATCTAACACAGCAAATCTCCCCGTCAAGATCTTTTGCATTGCATATAACTTTTGCAACCAAAGCGTAGGGTGTCCTGAGATTGTCAAGCAAGCAAGACGCACAAATCCATGCAATGATTTTGGGAAATAATGAATAGAAGTCGCCGGAAACGGCGATTGTTAAAGGCAGCATCCAGGCAAATCTGAACATATGGGGATCTCACGTGGATAGTAATTTTGGGGTCTTAAATAGGCCACTGCCAAACCAGCAGTTCAGGTAATGTTCTAACGGCTGAGATATGCCTCTCGAAACTGGAGCCAGGATCGTATTTCGCATGGATCCATGGTGCAACGCGTGGGTCCACGCGCGAAACTGATGGGTTGCCCCATGAATCCATGCGAATACGATCTGGGGGTCCAGTCTGGTGGTGTATATCTCAGCCGTTAGTGAGTCACCTGCGCTGCCGCTTAGGTAGTGCTTAAGTCAGGGACCTAACATTACTTTCCACGTAATATTTCCATGGGTCCAAATTTGTTTGGACGCTGCCTTCAAGTATTGAAGCTGTGGGACGAGCACAATTAAGCGGCCCACCATACACAGCGGTACTGTGTATGAGAATGACGTATGTTCGGAAAAAGCATTAAGCATGTCCCAAAAATGTCATTATTTGGAATTTTTCAGGCATTTCGCAATGGCGCTGCGTGCTGATAGTCGCTAAATGAGTGGTCGAGATATCCCTTTTTACTGATATAGCCATACTAAGGTCGTTATAATATTTTATTCAATTAACGTTTCGTCTTTTCGCCTTCGTCAGAACCTGGAAGTGAGAAATACATGAGCTCTAGTCTTTCCAAACGCTCTATTCTAGCAGGTTAAACATAGTAAGTTGAACAAATTCTACCAAAATGCTCTTTTCTGTTCGTCCTCGGGTTTGGTCAAAATTTAGCACGCTTCTGAGGTTGAAAAATGTACAGCCACCATAACGAATGAGCCCGCGTCATTTTCGGAGCTATGCCGGTTCTGACCTGGATCAGTCTAGCCCAGCCCATCAGCTCCTTATTCCATGCGTATTCCAGCAATGAGTGATGGTCTCTACTCATCGGTTAAAAAGTTGAGCTGTTTTGTTTCGGCACATCGCAGCATTTGTACAACTTCAAAACTTATAATAAGCCGCGAATCTGTCGTTCTGTAGAGTTGGTTTGTTACGAACACAGTGAGAAATGATTCACAATACTATGCTGCATGTGAGGTTCTCATAGCAGTGATAATTCATTCTTAACTACTCTCTCGCTGCAGTCAGACGGGCAATGGTCTGAGAGAGAAGCTCTCAGAGCGTACGTTTACCACCGTTCCTGATGGCCAACCTCTGTGAACAAAGGTGAAGCTGTGGTCGTTGTTTGACCTGCTAGAGTAGAGCATTTTGAAGGACATGATCTTAAGTGTTCCTCACTTCCAGGGTCTGACGATGGCCTAGACGAAACGATAGCCGAATAAAACATAGCGATCTTGGTATGGTTATATCAGTCAAAAGGAATATCCTGATAATGCCAAGGTCATGGAAATCGATTATGGAATTCAAGAAGAGTGATCGATGATTCGCTTATGCTGTAGGTTTAAGTTGAAGCCAACAATCTTGAGACAGAAGAAGGCATTGAAGCAAGAGTTTGGTAATTGAACAATGCGCACAATTTTTGGGACATCCTATATATTCGTCGCCAATCTTGAGTCACGGGCTACAACTGCATCATCATTTCCTCGAAATTCAAACTTTGAGAACAAAAAGCTCTGAACAGTCAGATCCTAGCTAACTTCAGCTCGCTAGCAGACAGCTAGGTCTGACTGTTAGCTCGTTCAAAATTGTCTGGTTCTAGAGAAAATTTGATGATAGTGCAAATAAGTGGCTCGTGATTGGACAATGGTTCTAGAAATTTCAAAGCAATCTAAATGGTTCTAGTGTGCCTGCGAGGGAAGCAAATATCAAGAAAGCAGTAAAGCAAAGAGGGTAGAACATGATGACGCACTGTCTGTGTTCTTACGCTAGGATATCGCCATTGTCTTCTAAAGTAATCGCGACCTCCCCATCCAAACCACTAAACTGCACCTGTTGGAATTTGGAACACTTCTATCAGATTTTGCTTCATTATGAATTTCGTTAAATCTGTATAACAGCATAAACTTGAGGAAGAATAGTCAAGGTTGACTACCTGCATAACTGCATTTTTTAAGTTCATGATGCACATCTTTAGTTGTCTGTCATATCAATGGTCGGTCCAATTCCTATCAGTTACCCACTTAATCACCAAACTAATAAGTAACAACTCATATGGATGTAAAGAGATTCTTTAATCGTCTTCGTTATTTTATATGCGAAATGCCGAAGCAATTCAGTTTGCAATGGCGTCAGTTGATGCTCGAAAAGCTTACAGAGCGCCTTACCTTGTTTTATCAAATTTTCAAACTATCAATACACTTACAACAGCGAGCAAGTGCTAAATTATCCTCATGAAATTCTAAAATCAGTTGGACAGGTTGCGCCCTCAAATACTTAGGTAATCTAATTTGCAGTCTAATAAGCTACTACTTCACTCAATTCTGTGTTAACTACACATATTTTTCTTTACCAGCTAGAAATATAAAAGAAGTGATATCTCGTAAAAGTTTATGCGAACTTGTTCAGTGAGGTCTGATATTTTCAAGTAGCTGTGATGAAGTAAATTGTAGCTTATTTCACTGGACATTTTTTTTAATCCAAAGGCGAGCTATGCTTGTCTTTAGACCATATTTCTCTCATTTTACTAAATGAAAAAAGGAATAACTTTTAGATATAGGTCAACTCGCACAACCATAAGGCTATCAACATTGCTTACTGTACATTGTTAGTAACATTTTGTTTAACATTAAGGCGAAGGTAAACTAACTGGTGCTCTCTTGCCGAAGCTCATCATATCCCTTTCGAATCCTGACGGCACTCGTTTACCGAATGACATCATCTCTCGCTCGAACTAGAACACAAACAATATAATCAACTTGCAATCCAATTATTACAAAATTTCTAGAAGTAATTCGAAAGTTTCTCATACAAAAATTTCCCATATTTTTAGCTTCAATCTGTTTCTTCGATTGGAAGTAAACTAAAAATGCATAATATAACGGAAAGATTGATCGGAATCATAATGGTAATTTTCAGTTATGTCCTATTTAAAAGATTTCTTTGTGATTTTATGCAAATGAACTTCCTATTTAACATCGGGTGGCGTAAACCCCAATCTTTTTGTGCAATAAATTCATAGTAGATTAATTTTCCAACTCACTCCTGGATTAGAACTATCGAATCTTGCTACACGAGGTGCTGCTCGCTTGCCGAAATGCATAATGTCTCGTGAAAATTCGTTTCGTTTCTCGTTCTCACCTCCATCAGCAACTGAAATACACTATTCAGTAGAATGCACTAACCCAGATTATCAAAAGTGTAAAACTTACGAAATTGTGATGAAACGGCAGTAAGTGTCACGGCGAGACAGACAAGGGACCAAGGAGGCGTCATCATTCTCCGACCTGAAAGGAAGAGGATATAAGGGTGATTTTCTCGGTTTATTTGATCACAGGCGATATAGCCGCGAAAAAGAAGAATGATAATGATTGAGGAAGGAGACAGCAGTTGTTCGATACACAGTGCTTCACATCTTTAGTGTGCAATGAGTGAGGAATGAAGTAATATATTACTAAATAATAAATAGATACTGTAGAATGAAATTTGGTAAGAAATGGACATAGTACATGATTTACATTCCTAGGGGCTATCTCACATATGTCACGAAAAAACCCAGCGGAACTGTCTTGGCAGTATGTAAAAGGTTTGGGAATTTTTGCAATCAAAAATTTTTTCATAGCAGAGTAGATTTGGTATGAGTTCATACTTTTACATATCTCGCATTAGCCGCAGTTTTATGCAACTGCCATACAAAGAAATGGGAAGGAACTTTTCGAGCGTATACTTTTGTTTTTCTGACAAAACGCATGGTACTGTGATAAAAACCTTTAGCATCTGCATAAATGTGTCTTTCAGTTTACGTGGTGTGTGATCATCACAAGGAGATCAGGCTTCCAATATTCTCGGACACTTTTTTTTTGCAGAAAAGAGCAGGAATTGCTTCCCATGACGATGATATGCGGAAACAACGCAAAAATGCACGTTCATCATAACTGGTAAAATAGTGAGTTTTGAACGACACGACTTACAAACCTGAAGATAATTTCTCTTAAAAATTTAATGTTTTTGCAAATTCTAGGAAATGTCCGCTAATTCCATCATCTCATCTATTCGACCAGACATTTCAAGCAATTCAACGAGGAAATCTAGTAATATTCAAGGTGTATCACATACAGATATACTATTACGACAGCTAAGAAGTTTTGCACTAAGATTGTGCCGCTACCGTCTATACTTTTGAATGAAAAAAATTACAAAAATTCTAGTGTTTTATAACGTTTTCTTTTTTATTAGTCATATCAGGAATGGGTCGCTACATTTGAGATAGCGGTCTGTGTTTGTTATAGACCCTTGCAAATGGCGTTTTCGTTGTTGCAAATCATCAAAATTTCTATACATCTGTGAAAAAAGAGCCATGTATTTAAATGTTTGTTAGCTTTTAACATCCTATTCTCACGTACGACTTTAAAAGGGATTGTTGGATAATAAAATCGTCTCAACCCCTTCATTCGAGTACTCTATTTTCACGCGTATAAGGCGCCTTTTTCGAATCAAGCGAGCCGCTCACAGGGGAATGGTCAGAAGTCGAAGTGGCCAATCCATTCAGGCTGCATACCATTAGAAGCAGCATAAAACACTGACTCTAAATCTGTCTTCCTTATCTGCAGAGCGCTTTTGTGGACGAAATTATAAGCCGTTGAAGGCCATTATTTTGCTAAGAAATTGTGCGTTTAAAGTGCAAACTTGGCCGTATAAAGCCATTCTCGGCTCAATGGTGGACCAGAACATGCAACTAAGTCACTTCGTATAACCCATACCAAGAAGTGAGCTGAAAGAGCAATAATGTGCCATATTTTGCAATTTTTGCATATGATTTTTCCGCAGTAAAGCTGCTCAGAAGTTGGCCTACAAAGGCGCTCTGCAGATATGGAAGACAGATTTGAAATCAGCATTTTATGCTGCATCGAATGGTATGCAGCTTGTATGGAATGGCCACTTCGACTTCTGACCAATCCCTTGTCAGCTGGTTCACTGCATCCCGGAAAGAAATCCTTACATCGCACAATTCTCTCAAGCGATATACAGCACGTTATAGGGTCCTTTGGTTGTAAAGTCCTTTGGCGTGTCTGCTGGTCGATTTTGGAAAGAAATCCCCGCGCCTTATACGCGTGAAATTAGGGTAAGTTCTTTTTCTGTGCGTACGTCCTTCTCTTTACCTGGCAAAGATTCTGTTATCCATTTTCGTATAGTGATGCTGAAGTAACGGAAATCAAATAATATCATTTTACCTTTTTTCAACTCTTGCATTCACGGTTCACACAAAAGATTACGCAGAGTCTGTGCTAGCAGATTCTTTCTATTTTTATTTCACTTCTCTTTCGAATTTTGAGCAAATCTCCTTTTCTAGTAGTAAAAACATGAAACCATACAAGTATGGATAACTCACAAAGTTCCAGACAATCGTTGCAGAGTCAACTGCTTCAACAATGCGCTTAAAAGAGAGGAGAACGAATCGGTAAGTTTACAGTGCTCAAAGTGCAAGCGTCTACTAGTCAAAAAGGTACGAAAGCGTTTGACTCCTAATACGTAATAGCAGATGTATGAGAAGTACTTGCTTAATGCTTTTAATACGTTTTTTCTATGAATAAGTAATACATCATATATCACAGAGGTGTTCTTCTCAACACGTTCATGATATCATAGCTAAATTGGTGGCGTACGGACTACAGCTGATATTTTATAGAACTTTCAAAACACAAAGGAAATGAAACAGCTACATGATAAGTTTTGAATCACATCTTGGTATATTCATAACGATGAAAAAACAGATACGATCGGCTCCCAGATTCGTGTGGAGGCGGGTTGCAGACTTTTGCTGATTATTAGGATAAACTTGATGAGAGAGTACGAAAAACAATGCTGTAACAAGAGAGGTTCAAAAAGTTCATCCTTAAGATCAGGGAAAGTTTGAAAACCAGTGGTACCTATGCAGTGTAACATATGTCTTGCATCATTCTGTAAAATTATAATTTTCTTTAATCTTGAAATGCTCGTCGTACTTGAAGTGATTATGAAAGGGCAATTAAGCGCTCTTCATAGATGTTTATTTGAAGTAAGAACTATTGTAGGCTGGTGATAAAAACTAACAAAAACCCAAATTACGTTACTTCGGTATTGAGCAGCAAGGAAGGAAGAAGGCCCCAATACATTCTGGTTTCAATCTTACCTTGAGTTTCATGAATCACTCTTTCTAGAGCAAGAGTTCTATGAGAATGTTTGGGTTTCTTATAGGTTTTTTTCATTTCTAAAAATTTTGATTCGGTAAAATTAGTTATAAAGGGAAAAGATGCATAACTTACCATAGTCTGTAAAAGGTGCATAAAAGACGATGACAAATTTGAAATGTTTAATGAGTCTTTCATAATTTTAGTGCAAAAGTTTTCAGTCTAATAAAACACATATAAAAGCCAAGAGAAAGTAAAGTTGACTGGAGAGGAGTGTAGGTCTGAATTCTTCTTTAATAAACCACGAGCTGATAAATCAGATAAAAACAAAGCTGTCAACCACTACGTAATAACTCAGAAAAGCAATCAACTCTAGTTCCACAACAAGATGACATTGAGCTGCTATTTCGATTCCATGCGTAGTATAGACTAATCTTTGCAGACAAACAAGGATCAGCCAGCTCAAAAAAACGAAAAAAAACGATTACTAGGGGGTGGTAGTCTCTACGCCTGCTGAGATAATGTTACTATGTACACTAAGTGACAATTTGCCAAAACTACGAAAAGCAAAGATCGCTGAAATGAAGCAGACAAGCCGTGAACGCCTCACATTTCATCAAGAAAATGGAAAAAAGAAAAGAACACATAGATCTCGAGGATCTAATGCGCATATAAATCAAAAAACTTTCCTGGTCTCAAAATTCAGAAAAGTAACTAACAAATTAGCTGAAGCCTTAAGATGTTCGGCCCAGCAAGAATTCTACTACATAGCAGGTGGGAGTCATAATATCACATTTCTCATATATATGCTACAAGCTCTGTTTGAACAAGAGAAAATTCACTGCAATGTCATGGGATTTCATTTCTTGAGGGACTGGAATAATTCAACAAACACACTGATTTCACTGAAAAGGATCTTCTTTGCATATTTCCCTGTGAAGCAGAAAGGCTTTCAGCTAGATTGAAGTTATTTCAAATCCTCCAACATCGGGAGAACAGAGTATAATAATGACATCATCATGTGGAAATTCTTAGATATATACTGAGAAAAAGATGAATGCAACCTTCTTTTTTGTTTCAGACTTGGGCATTGTTAAGACTTGCCTATCGCTTTGTTAAAATTTAACCAATTCCCTTGCAATCTTTTTTTTTTTGAGAGCAGAGACGTGGGAGGGTGGGGAGGGGGAAGGAGGGGGCAGAGGAGAGTGAACTAAAAAATAGGGGTAAATCTTCACAATCGCAAAGTTCGTTTCAAGAACATAGCTTGCCAAATACTATTATCGGCTGAAACATTCACCACATACATAGTTATCATTGCCGTAAACATCATGCACTTCTCAAAGGGCTCAGTGTAGAATTCTTCAATATGGTTATTCAAACTGGGATTTGAAAAAACTCACAAAAAAAGGTTCGAGCGATTAAGAGGACAGCAAAGTTGTGATTATCGATAAAAATAGACTTTTTATCGATAATCACCCTTACTATTCTCACATAATATCTTGGACTCCATGATCAGAACTCTCAAGAAATCAACTTCTCAGCCTAATTGGCAGGCTGCTTGGAAGTAGAAAATGACTACTGAAAGTTTTTATCTTTTGCCCTTCTACAGGCACAACCGGAATTTATTCCGCTTTTAACGATTTGCAACATACGATGATTGCGCCCCAATATGATTGTGTTAACACTGGCAAACAGACAGCACTCTGAATTTGGAAAATCTATCACATTTCTCACGAACAGGTTTGGAAGGTTTCCATCGCTCCAACAAGAATCAGCATCCTACATAAAGCATATTTTCTAGTCATTTGAACACGAAATTTATAGAATCAAGCGCAATGGCAATGGCTCTCAATGAACACCACAGCCTTTTGAGCTCTAAAAAAGTCGGAATTTTGGCGCGGATATCTGGAATAGAACAAAACAAGGGAATGGTCAGAACTGACTTGCCCTTTCCCAATAATCGTGCGATTTTATTATCATTTTAGAACACTTCAAGCGTTGACTACTAAGCAACTTTTTTGGTAAAGTAGAATATGTTTAATTGTAAACAAATTATGCGAGTGAGTTCCCTTTATAGCTTGAATTTGACAGTGTATGCAGAAGTGCTTAAAATTCCTTTCGTAGATG